TCAATATTGTTAATAAAATATTCACTCGCAAAAAGGAATTACGAGGTTGAGCTGAAAAGTTTATGAGCTGACTATGAAGGAATGATGTTAGAGCTGTGAAATTAATGCAGGCAATATTTCTAGTATCAATCCTTCATAATCAGCTTATGAACTTTTTATAAAATTCAAAACTGTTTCGGCTTTCAGTAAGCCACCAAGGGTTGATAATCTGTTAAACAAGCGGCTCAATCAGTCAATGGTCATTTCCACTTTAAATATAGACAAAACCTATAGAAAAATATTTTAACGTTTTTAATTTTTAAACATAACGAAGAAAAAATGAAATCAAACAAATGTTAGCTTTCTAAAGTAATTTTTTATAATCTCATATTTCGTTTGGTTGTTTTTAGTTTAGCGAGATTTTTTTTCACAGTTCACAACAGGGGCAGGGATTGGCTGGTCAACTTTAATGCCTCAAAAACAAAACTGCTCTCTATTAATCACCACAGAGACCCTTCCCTGCCCTCCATTAGAATGTCTGAAGCTGAACTTCTCGAGAGCACCTCTCTGTGGCTGCTCGGTCTCACGTTGACTGCTGACCTGAGATGAAACAAATACATTGAGTCAATTGCTTCATCCACCGCAAGGAAAGTTGGCTCCCTGTGCTATGCCAGGAAATTTTTCTCCCCGGAATCGATCCTTCAGATCTACAAATCAACAATTCGCCCTTGCATGGAGTATTGCTGCAATATATGGTCTGGTGCTCTTTCTGTTTGCCTCGGGGTTCTTGATAAGCTACAGAGACGGATATACAATATAATTGGTTCTGTTCTGGCATCTCGTCTACAGTCGCTCTCTCACGGACGCGCCGTCGCCTCTCTCTGTCATTTTTACAAATAATTTCATGGTAATTGCTCCGATGAGCTGCATTCGCTGGTTCCCAGACTTCATGAATTCAAGCGCCCTACGAGGCTATCAAGCAGCTTGAGTTATTTAATGCCAGAACCGAAACATCGAGTGTACATATTTATACCTCCAACTGCATTTTGTAGATGACTGTTGAGTGTAGCCGTCTCTTCTACTCCAATAGCTTCATATCCCGCACTTCTCGCCTGTGGAACTCCTTCCCCTTTTCCTGTTTCCCTGATAGCTATAATCTCCAACTATTCAAATGTAATGTCAATCGACGTCTCCAGATGCCTTGATCTATCCCCTATCCTTCTCTTCATCCTTTCCTCTATTACTTATATTTTCTCTAGCTCCAGCTCTCTGTAACCCCTTGCGTGATAGTGGCTTCCCGCCTAGCGTGATAGTGGCTTCCCGGCTAGCGTGATAGTGGCTTCCCGCCTTGCTTGGGGTGAAACGCTTAAAAAAAAGAAAAGAAAAAAAAGAACAACCTTTAAATACATGGTTTATAGACACATACTTTGTAGATACTTTTTTGTAGGTACAGTGTAACCCGGATGTAAGAGAGTTGTCGGGACCGGAGAAGGAGTCTCTTATATCCGGGTTTCTCTTATATCCGGGTTTGGTCTATTTTGTTTAGGTAAGTATGGGAACACTTTGGGACCAGAGAAAATGTCTCTTATATCCGTGTTTCTCTTATATCCGGGTCTCTTATATCCGGGTTACACTGTATTACACTTTGGTATAAACTTCTTTCCTTAACGTAGGTCATTATGTTCACGGTTTCAGTATTTTGAAATAGATTTCTCGTGTTGGTTTCCTTGTAGTATTTACGTCTTACAGAGGCTACGTGATGGCATTCATTTAAAATGTGTTTCGCCGTGAGTGCAGCTTGGCAATTTGTAGATGTTGGCTGATCTTCATCTTTCAGCACGTATGAATGTCTGAGTCATGTGTGTGTCGAGTTAGCATTGTTTACTGTTTTCTCCCCTTTTCTACCTATTTTTTTTTCTATTCACCTGGAAATTGTTTAATTGTGAGAAATTTATTAATTTCGTTGTTGGTCCAACGTTTTTGCCATTTCTCTTGAATGTCACAATTTATTTAACATTTTTAGATCCGTAAAAAAAATATCTTTAAATTATTATTACGGATTTATTATACCCTGCAGAATATTCAACGTGCAAGGAATTCTTTCTACCAAGTTGTCACTATTTTTCACTTATTTTTCTCTTTGAGAAGTATGCCGACACTAACATTAGCTTGGTCTGCCAGTTTTATCTTCAGGCAAATATTATTTAGGAAATAGGATAATTTAATGAACGCGAGATTTGCTAATTAGTCATTTGGAACAGATTTTGTTTTTTTGTTTTTTTAAAAAAAGGTCATTTTCTAAAAAAAAAAAAAAAAGGTTATTGCGCTTCCAAAAGTCAACTAAATGCAAAACACAAAAATATACAAAATATCTTTGTTACCAATTTTTTTTAAATATAAGGGGCATGTGTGTTTATCTAATCAAGATTGTTCATATCTATCTATTGTAGTTCATGTCTCTCTCTCTAAGTCTGTCTATCTATCTATCTATCTATCTATCTATCTATCTATCTATATATATGTATGTATGTATGTATGTTAGATGCGCGAGACTTAGTGGAAAGTGCTCAATATCTGTAATAGAGCTAACATATTCAGTTGTATGTATATTAATTTGTAAACTGGGTTTCACGCTTTTGTGATCATCAGACAAAGGAAGATTGTCTGATGATCGCAAAAAACGTGAAACCCAGGGTCGAGAGTATTTCTACTCGCAGCACACGTGTTTTCCTCGCTCTGTAAGGATCTCTCTTTCGTTATGTCTTTTTTTGTAACATTTCCTTTGTATGGGTCCGAATAAAGTAAGTGCAAAGAACAGTAGTGAGAAGCCGGAAAGTATAATTTTGCTTGAGGTAAAGCGGGAAATTATAATAAAAAACGTGAAGCCGTTCGAGCAATGGATTTGGCGAGACAGTATAAGCATTCTACATCGATGACAAATAAAAAATGATAGGAGTTTAAAAAATTCGTTACAGTAATGGGTAAAATGTAAACGTTTTAAAAAAAATGTAGAAGTTCAGTGAAAAAAAGTACAACTTCGATATCTTAGACTAAACCAACGGTTGCTGGTCTAGCTGTTGTTCTCTCTCTCTTTTGCCGGTTGGCCTATGATTCGTCTGAACTTCATGGTTTACTACAGTTTATTATCATCCAGTTAGTGGTCCCTCCAAATAACCAACATGAAATAACATGCACTTAAAAGTTAGAATATATATATATAAGCATAGCAATGCCTTGAGATAAGAGCGAGTTTCAGTTCAGTATCTGTTAGTTGGTGCAACAAGCGCCAAGCTTCGACAGTATTTCCACTCGCAATACACGTGTTCCCCTCACCCTGGAAGGATCACTCTTGTGTTGTGTCTTTTTTGCCGTTTTAGTGACACTGTGGGTCCGAAGAAAGTAAGTGCAAAGAACAGTGGTGAAAATCCGAAACGTATGATTTTGCTTGAGGTAACGTAGAAACCCTAATGACATTATTCGGACTATTATCCTCATCTTTGTCACCATATTTATCACAGCGTTTCGGCCTTCTTCAGGTGGTTGGAATGTCGAATTGAACCCTTTATTTCGCTGACTGGGGTAGACTGTTCTAGTTCCACTTGCCATGTTTAATGGATGTCAGTAATATCCTGTTAATTTCCCTCAGAAACTTCTTCACTGTCTTAACGGGGTATTGAACTATCAGTAAAAGTTATATTTCAAAGAAGTTATATTTCACACTCTTTGGATCCTGTCACTGGATCTAACCAACGCCTTTATCTACTGTGCCATATGTCCTTCTGTGTATGAATTTCTGGGTATTATAAACCTAATGTCTCAGCAACCATTTTCACTAGTGCTCATATTGCAATTTTTGTTGTTATCAATTCATGTTTTTACCAGAGCTCATATTGCAACTTTTGTTGTTATTATTGCATTTCTCTGGCACTTCTTATTACTGGTTCCATATGTATTCATTTCTATTCTTGGTCGGCTCAGGAGATTTTTGTGACCGAGCATATGTGCTGATTCCTTAAGTTTACGAATTTTCCAATGATTTTATTTGTTTATGATCTCAATCTGATCGCACAGAGGGTGGTGATCTCCCTTCTCTCTCCATTTGTGGTCAGCCACGCCTGATTTTTCTACTTCCCTCGTGTTACAGCTTTCTGGTGTTCTTGAAGCTTTACCTTAAGGGGGCGGCCTGTCTCCACTTTATATTTCTTTCCGCAACTGCATGGAATAGCGTACACACAGTCTTTAGTCATGCTCTCCTCTATGGGGGGTCTTACTCGGGAGAGATATCTGCGAAGTGTCGTCAAGCTTTTGAAGGTTGTCATGATGGACCGCAGATCCTTTGTATTTTCTCTGATAACCCCTTCACATAAGGCAGGCAGACTGTTTTCTGAGTGTTCTGTCCTCCTCTTGTACCTGCCTATCCCAGTATTTTGGGGCTGCTGCCATGTTTCCAGGGTAGTTGTTAAGAAGACCGAAACGTAGAACGGCCGAAACGTTGTGTTAAATATGGTGACAAAGATGAGACTAGATCAATAGTCCGAATAATGTAAATAATGAATATAATACCTCATCTCAGAAATATAGACAAAATTATCTTTGCATAAAATTTTTAAAATATAACTTTTACTGAGAGTTCAATGTCTGAATTTGTCCCTTAAGGTTTTTTTTTTTTTTTTCCTGAGATTTATGATAAAATAAGAAAGATTAATAACATACGGCTTCAAATCGATGAGATTTTTGAATGATTGTGGCCACTTCTGTTTTTATGTGGCTCGTATGTATAATTTGCAAAAAATAAAAGAAGAAAAAAGAACTACCGGAATCCCTTAATTAAATCTTTCTCAACATTGTTTGTATTACTCCATTTTGAATGTACATCGTCCATATATTTTTATCACGTTTCACCCGAATTCTCGCATTATACGAAATGCTGTGGTTAATTCATTTCATTAAGTAGATTTATAGATTTTAACATAGAGCTTCTGTCGATATATTCTTCAGCCTTCGCGTCCTGGGTAAGGCGTTAAACTACCTCCGTATCCTGGGTAAGACGATAAACTACATCCAGAAGCAAGGCCTCTGGTCAGGAGGTTTTGAGGAGCGTGGAACCACCGCTTAATTGCTGATGTTCCCACGTCCTCTCTGCCTTGGAGTGGTAGCACATGTTAGGGTCCCAGCTATAGCTTAACTATTGCCAGCAATACTTTATTTTTTGAAAAAAATATTGCCACAATATAATTTTAAAGGAAAAATATTACCAGAAACAGATTTTTGACAAAACAAAATATTACCAGCAATAAAAAATGTTGTCGGCATTAAATAACCCATTGAGGTTGATATGCCGTAAAACAAAATAAACCAAACCAATCTAAACCATAGAATACATATTCTATTCATACGAATCTATCCTAAAAATGCTGTCGGCATTAAATAACCCATTGAGGTTGATATGTCGTAAAAAAAAATAAACCAAACCAAAACCAATCTCGAGCCTTCCTGTAGTTACACCCACTGCTGCAGCACTAGGGGTAGGTTTTGCCTCAAACCGTAAATTGCTAAAAAAAGTAATAAATAAATTCTCTTAAAAACTCGAGTTTTTTTTTTAATAGTCAAATGGAGACATTTGTATGGGAGCCATTCGTGGCGACAAACTCCTTACCAATATCTAAACTGTTAGTTGTGTACTCTGATGAATTATTATAAAAGGCGTCCAGCAAATATAGCCTCTAGGTTTTAACGGGGACCGTCCTTTGAAATTCATTGATTGGAATCTACAGAACCAGAGGCAAAGAAATATACCAAATAACAGAAATCCCATCAGTTGAACAGAAAAAACGAAAATACGGTAGGTAACTTGAAAAAGAAAATAATTACATAAGATACTAACGTACTGGAAGAATGATGACAGAGGATAACAGAGAAACATATGTTCATGTAAAATTGTTTGAATAAATATATTTTTTATAATCATTTCACCTCATTAAAAGTAGTAAAGTCGCTAAGACAGAGGGGGTTAGTGAATGTGAAAGAATAAGAAAAAAGAGAAAACTCTTAACAATATTAACTACGAACAAGGCCACAATGTGCTAACCGTGATCGGAAATGAAAACTTCCCTACTACACGCTAAGACATACACATAATACACACACTCAATTAAGCTGAAAAATCGAATCATCCTTGATAATAGCTAAATCGCTCGGAAATATGAAACATTTGGACAGTTTTTATACACTCTTTGTCCAGAAAAGAAAGCTCTTGACAGAACACAAGAAAAATTTAAAAAAAAGCTTAACCGTAGTACCTTGTCTGTCGTTTTTAATGAAACATATATATATATATATATATATATATATATATACACATACATATATATATATACACATACATATATATATATACACACACATATATATACATACATACATACATATATATATATATATATATATATATATATATATATATATATATATACATACACGCAGATGCAGAGATAGTAGATTGTAACCTCGGGATTCTCGCTTTTGCGATCTTCAGACAAACTGTATTTTTGTGTTGTTTTTTTCAATAGAGGATATGTTTGTGCTTTATTTGTGTTTGATTATTTGTGTGTGGTGGAGGGAGAAACTTTTCTCTTCTGTGCTTGTTTGGGATGACACTCACATATAGATAAACACGCATGCATACAGGCGTATGCATGTTAGTTCGTACATACACACCGATATTCATAATCTTAAGATTCTGACAGTCGGTTCAATCCAAAAACGGACGGATTATTCGCGTGCTCGATTTTACCGTGAAAGGTTTAGTTACAAGTCTGACAGGTTGTTTATTTAAGATTAAATATATATATATATATATATATATATATATATATATATATATATATATATTATATAAGACATATATTATATAAGACATTTTTTTTAATATGAAAATGTATTGATAATGAAGATAATTTTGTTGCACAAAAGCTTTTTTTTCTGAAAGGAAATTTGAATACTTACCAAAAAACGTACAGATAGATGCATTTTAATTTTACTAGGCATGCCCAGACACGATTCATTCAATGAAATCAGTTAATGAAGTCGTGTGTGCATTTATTTATCCAAAAGTTTTAAAACATGACTGAATCAAAATTTTAGTTTCACGCGATATAGAGTTACCAACATATCGCATTCAAACGCCTGTTTTGGAAGAATCACCGATGTTAAAAACATTGATCCTGATAAGTACTTAGATAGAAGATTGCAGTGGCATAGCAGTCGCTGTAAGCTACATGACAGGTCTATGAAACTGGCGATAGATACAATCCAGCTACTTTTGCTAATATAAGACCTATCATGTGGAAAGGCTTCTTGACTGACAGGTCATAAGATCTACCTGGAGTTGAGTGAGAATATAGAAGATTTCAATAAATCAAAGATATTACATTGTGAAAAGTAGATTACATTTACGAAATCAGAACCACTAAAGCACTTAAGAACAACTAAAAATTCACACCAGCTCGACAGGTAGTTGAC